ATGGCTCGGTTTAACAGATCCTCTTCGAACTGCTGTCGAGCTCTGACAATTATTATTAACTGAAAGTTGCGCACACGATTTCGAAGACCGTATAATTTGTTACTTCATTTTGCTCCCTGAGTGCATTAATGTTGGATACATCGATTGAGTTTGATTATCACGACGACGCCCGAACTTCGGTTTCCAGAAAACAGAGTATGTTCTGAGCGAAGCAGAATCCGACCATTAGATTTTCGGGCGATGCATTATTTTATATGAACAAACTGATATGAGGTGTTTTTTTTTGTTAATTTTTAATTGAGGTAGGTAGTGATGACGTTGAATAAAATGGCTGCACTCGCCTCTTGTTCTAGTTAATTTCATCAAAACCATTACATCTCATTCAGCAGATGACATCTTACTTTCTAAATACGAAAGGCTACTCTTTGATGGGTGTGCAAGGTAAGTGAGGATTTATGTTTTCTCGGTTCTCAGTTTTTCAGTTACAACTAAACGATTTTACATACATACTTTGCGCCGAAAAAGATTTGTTTAGGCTCTGACTGAGTAAAATATTGGTAATCCCACTTCTTGCATTGGCATACGTTTACCCTAAGTGTGAGCGAGCTTTAGAAGTTGTTGGAAATCTTAGTTTAGTATATGTGAAATTTTAATGATACTTGTCACAGTGAATAAACGTGTGTTGGGGTAAGAAAACACCGATATTTCTACAATAAAATATAACTTGCCGACATCAGTTGTGTTCGCATCAGCAAAATGTCGAGTTAGTTTCATAAGCTCCGCCTGAAAGTTTAGTTATAAAAGAATAATAAGAAATAAAGGCAGCGTAAGATACACCTAGATAAGATGTGATACTGCGGAAAGAGCCATTTGGATATCAAGTTGGAAGCAAATATGGTAAAATCCAGCCAAGTTCAACATCATAAGGTATGTTATGCAGGATCGTCTCATCGTTTTTCTAAAGCAAGAACGTTTCTGCGGTGATCGCACGTGTTTAAGAACACATTTTTCCAGAGATGGGAGGATGTTTGATGTGATATATACTTCACTGTAAGGTTATACAACTTTCATTATAAATACATCGACGAACCTAGTAGACGTGTTTAGTGGACCATTACGCACCTTACACCAATGGCCTTGGCGCACCTACTCGTTTGTAAATACCGTATTTATCCACGTACCGACTACTGCACAGATAGATTAATTAAAAAGGTTTTTACGAAGAATGCCATAATTTACTCATTACCCGAAAAAATCTACTGTAGTTTCGAATTGAAAAACGGGCGCACTAATCACATTAACAATGCTAATGAGTGACTCCTCTACCACTTGACACCACTAAAGGATGGTTTGATATTCCGGGTAGTTAGCATCACTAATGTCTGTTCAGTCACAGACAAATGTGACTTATAATTAAATAAACCTAGTAGCCATGAGGTACGCTAAAAATGCACGTCCTCTAAGATACTGATAGTAGCATTTGTCTGTATCTTCTCAGTAAGGAAGTTCTCAGGTAATTAAATAGAACCAGGGCCTCGGTAATAACTAAACTCGACCTACCTATTGAATTTGGAAAAAAATAGACACCCAGTACTAAAAGTGATTGCGGTATCAAATGATGAAAACACAGCGAAACGGCACTTTAGTTTTGTTGCATGGATACTGTTGCTCCTGCTGTGCACATTCATCCGTCCGATAAAGGCTTCCACAATATTTACCTGATATACAGAGCTGGAATTTTCTATATCTCTGTGATATCAAGCGGGATTTCTTAATATATGCTTTTAACTCTCAGGTGGACATGTGATTATCAGTGCCATATTGAGAGGTCTCGAATGCGCTAAGAAGAAGTTTTATCTGCGGCATATTGATCAATATATGGTCTGAAAACGAAAGATATCTGTTTTCCAAATTAAATCCAAAAAATTGTTATGAACTTGCCCCTTTTGGCGGACCATGAACAAACATTTTCTTGACGCCAGCTGCCCGAACTGTAAGTGCGACCCCCAAAAGGCCGGAAAAGTAGTCCCAAGTCATCCTCGTAAAGAAGGCGTGCTGGATACGAGAGGCCTTAGACCTAGCACCATGTTTAAAACCGGAGAATAAACTACCTATGCTCCGTAATGATCCGCTGTGTTCCCTCACCACAATTGACAAGGTAGCGCGTGGTGTCTGTACATATGAGAAGGCTTTTAGGCGTGCCATCTCTACCAGAGCCAATAACGGAGACATGCATTAAGGAGGTAGGAGGCATTTTTAAGATAAGTTTCGGACGCAGATGCTGTAATTTGAAGATTATGTTCATTAGATTAACAGTGCATATTTCCGTTGGCACTAGAATATAAATCCTCGCGACAGATTTATCTATCGCTCCTTTATTTCGATGTGTTAAAAGCAAGTCTTCTTGACTTATTCACTCGTCGAGCAGGGAAGATGAGCTATTAGGGTTGATATTTCCTTATTCCTCCATTTCTTTGCGCTAAATGAGTATTCAACTTTGGGAAGTAGTCTTCTTGGCAGGAATTTTCCATGGGGTTGTGGTTGAGGGGGTTGGTAGTTATGCAAACAGCGTTATTTGGTAATAATCAAACCATCTTTTTAACAGTACGCCTCTATCTAGTAATAATATTTGAAGATGTTGGAAATAAAATGAAACACTATATTGTTTGTCATAAAGACTGAACTGTTTCTTTGCGATGAAAGAAATGTGTCAGCCGAAAACACCAATTCAAGGGGCCGCAAATGGCACATGACGGTTTTACAGCCTAAACCAATGCAGAACAACATTGGATAGCCCTCCTCGAAAGGTGATGTCTGGCAAACAACGAACATGTTTGATGGAAAACCCTTGTTTGTCACGCGACTTCCCTTAGTCTACCTTGCCATATATGTGATGAAACGTTAGCAGAAAAGCGAGCTCTGCTGGGGCACTGGTCTTCTTATTGTTTACCATGCCCCTGTTCATTACCGTTATTGGTGATTTTACCAGATCGGCCGTCAAGTTCGGCAAAAATCAGGTTAAATATGAGGTTGCTGGCCTTGTGCGTATGGCATT